AATGACCAAATATGTTCAAGTATACATTTGAGTGGAGGATCAGGAGAGGAGACCGCAGAGAGTAGGGCAGAAACAGTAACTGATAAGGGCTGAGAACTTTCCAAACAGAAAAGACATGAGACCCCACTTTCAAGAAACATTACAAACTCAAAAAGAAAACAAATTATATTAAAAAAAAAAAGAGACAAAAACATTTAGTTACATCATAATAAAACTGCTTCAATTTTAAGATGGACATCTTATAAACAGCCAAAGGAAAAAACAGATAGATTACTGGATAGCTAACAGGAAACTATAAAACAGAATCAAAGAAATGCTTGAACTGATAACAACCAAAAACATAACTGAAGTCAATGTTTCAGTTTAGGGGCAAAAATAAAACCAACATTATTTCTCAAAAAAATTTTTTTGGAATCCAAAAGCAATGGACTATATCTTCGAAATGATACAACAGCTGCTAATTCAGCAAAAATGTTATTTGAAAATGAGGTGAAACAAACAGTTTCAGGATACAAAAATTGAATTTGTCCCCAGCACCCATGTACAAAGGAAGTACTAAAGCCTGTTCTTCAGGAAGAAGAAATAAGATGCCAGACAGAAGCTTAGAAACTCAAGGAGTCATAAAGTACAACGTAAATATTCAAGTAAATATAAATATATATTAATCATATAATGTCTTATAATTTAGGAAATATATATTAAGTAAACACAATGTATATAACATGCAGTGGGGCAATAAATTATGTGTTCTTGGGTCCTTATGTTGTCCAGGAAGACGTGTAATATAAATTACTAAATAATACATAACTGTCTAGCTTATGGGGTGGAAGAAATGGAATAATAAAAAATAATCTAAAAGAAGGCAAAAAAAGGGGAAACTCAACAAAAGAAAGATGGGACAAAAGCAAATAATATGACACATTTAATTCCATGTATATTAGTAATTGTGTTACATATAAGTCAACTAAACCCTTTAATTACAAAAATATGATCAAATTACACAATAAATTTGTGCATATAACTCAAGTAAAAATGTAAAAACACTTGGAATAAAATATAAATTATGGTTGCTTTCAATTTTACTCTTTCCTACCTGCAAACTTACTCTTGTATCACTATGCTCCAACCAGGCAGGCCTTTTGGCTCCTAAGATATTCTAAGATAGTTCATGCCTCTGGGTTTTGCATTTTTGTCCCTTCTGCAAGGATTTGTTTCTCCAATTTCTGCAAAGCTGGATTCTCCTTTCAAGTAGCAGTTTAAGTGACACTCTTGTAGAGGTTTTCCTTAGTCACCTATTCTAAAATATTCATCTACTTTAACTCCCTACCTAGCACTATCTTATATTCTGTTTATTTATGGTCTGTTATCACTAAAATGTAGCAGGGACCATGTCTGCTCTATTTACCAGTTTCCCGAAGTCTAGAACAGTGACTGGGACATAGTAGATTCTCAATAAATACTTAAAGAATAAATAAAGCTAGTTTAGGTTTTAAACCTTTCTTAGTTTTATTGCTCTTGGTGGTGGCTGTTTAAAGCATCAAAGTGTCACTCACTGTCGTGTCTGACTCTCTGCGGCCCCATGAACCTGTCAGACTCCTCTGTCCATGGAATTTCCAGGCAAGACTACTGGAGTGGGTTGCCATTTCCTTCTCCAGGGGATCTTGCTGAACCAGGAATCAAAACTCAGTCTTCTGCATTACAGGTAGATTCTTCACCGTCTCAGCCACCAGGGAAGCCCCGGCTGTTTAAAGACTTTCCTGATCCCAAAAGGTATCAGATGATATCAAGATCCCATTTATGTATATTAGTGACCCCTGAAAGTATGCACTATGTAAAGTGTAAAATTTGCAGCAGTTTTTCCACCAGTAAGTCAGATATGTAGTATAGTCTTAGATATAACTATAATAACAAGTAAATAAAGAAAAGGTTCAAAGGAAGGCTACTGAACTACTAAAAAGTTGCAATACACTTCTGAAGAACATGTGTGTTTGTATGTTTTTCTCACATTAGAAAGGTGAGAGTATTATAGGTGGATGTTACAAAACATAATTTTTTTATGGAGGGGGGAGAAGCCCCTTTCATCTACTCCCAAGTAAAAAAATTGAATAAAAAAAAATTAGCCTCTTACAGAAGGATTGTTTTAGAGTGGTAATTCCAGTTATGATGGTTTATTTATTTTGGTTACTTCCTTTTTTACTCTTTTATACTCAGTTCTTCACATCAAAGCAATCACACTGGTCACATTTTCCATTAGAAAGATAAGCTTAATGGCTTTTAAAAAAATAGCTAGATAATATACCACTAAATGTATATGACAGAATTTGACCAATCTCTAATTTTTAAAGATTGTTCCATTTTTTTAAAAAAATCATGATTAGTATTCCTACAACTAACATTTTTGTCCATAAATCATTTCAAGGGCAGTTTAATTGAAGTGATTTTGGTCTACAACATTCATTTAAATGGTATTTCTCAAGGGGAAGAGGGTGGGCAACACAAAAAGCTCCCAGGCATTTATCTTTAATTAGGAAAACAGTATACATTGCGGGGAGGTGTGGGGATTACAAAGGCACTGACAGCATAAGCATAAATCATTATATTTATTAAAGAAAAAGCAGTGGAAATTTCTTAGAGGAGCTAACCTGGAAAACATTTTGCAAAGAATACAGAGCTGGACTTTGAAAAAGTGATAGGTCTTAATGTTTGAAAATGTTCCAGACAGGTGGAGGTGTTGAAGGAGGCGATAACTATCTGTTGGTGTTCTTAAGTACTGGAGAACAGTTCTTACTCAGGACAACTCATCACAAAGCCTGAATAGTGAGCAACATGGGTTTTTTTTTTAATCAAAGATTGGACTCCTAACTTCCTTGCCAAAAACAACCAAATTTCTCCTTAATCTTCATCATTCTTATCTTTTTTCCTCTTTCATCATTCTTCCCTTTTTTGTTCCTCTGTCAAAGACTCATCTATGTTAAGTAATGGAAATAGGTAAATTCCTCTTCTTCAAGGGTTGCAACGTTACACAACATTACAACTGCTGCATTAAAACATGCATGCATTTTAATCTTATAAAAACACTGCTTGTTACAGATTTTTCACACTAAGGGAATTAGGAACATTCAAGGATATTAACTAAGTTATTTATCAACTTGCCCTACACCAAATAAGGAACATAGTCACATGATCTATTAAAAATGATTAGCAGATAATGAATAATGATTGTGATTTTCTTTCGTGGTTTTATTCTGGCAGCAAGAAATTCCACCCTAATAATTTCAGTCTTATTGCCACATAGGAGGTGATGTTTTGTGAACCTCAACGAGGCTGCCACATCTAGCACAGTAAGACTCATGGTGTCAGAAAAGAGTAAGACTTCATGCGATGTGTTGTCAGTGACAGACTTATAGTTACTTCCATTCTCCACCTTTTCTTCCCTAAGGATAGCAGCTGCTTTCCACAGACACCCCAGCCGACAGACCCCAATTCCTCTTTCCCACAGGTACCATCTGCAGATGCCCAGGGGTGTGTCTGTTTACAACCTTGTCCCAACGAGCAGAAGCGGAACCCTCCGAGAAGTTCTGGATTCGTCCTCAATAGGACCTGTTTCACAAATCATTTCCCAGCCCCTCTCCACCTGTTTTCAATGTTAGTACTTACGATTTTTGTATCTTCTCCGTCACACTATGCATTCCCCAATAAACAGAATTTAAAGTGAAAACTAATATAAAGCAACTGCTCTGTGTTTCTTTTAGATGGCTCTGAACTCTGATTCCCAGGATCTTTTGATCATGTTTAGGTTGGATATCATGCTCTTCAGGGACTTTGGTAAGGGAAGTGAGGTCTCCCTTTGGTAAGGGACTTAACGTCTCACCACCCTTGCCAGCCCAACTATAACTTCTGAAGCCTCCTAGATTCCTGTTCCAATTCCAGCTTTTCCGACAAAACTACACCCTAAGGCAAAAAGACATCCCACAGATGAAACTGCAGAAAGTCAGGACTTAAGCAAGGACCCCTAAGTGGTGAGATAAATTTCTCGGTTAAAAGTACTCTGTCTGTCACTAATACTATGTATAACCAAACAAAAAGAGAGAGTTGACAGGTACACTTAACAACACAACATTTGGAAGGTATATGGAAGTTGTCTTGGGGGAGGGCAATATTACAAGGAATACGAAAGTTTGACTTTTCTTCCCATTTGATGATAGATATGTTTTAATCTAAAAGGAAACCGTCCATATTTGAATGTATTAAATAGGAAGAATTCTCTTGCCAGTTTCTGTGCTCTTGGTAGATGCAGTTCTGACTTCAGCTGGTATCTGAACAGTGCAGAAACGTCTCACGACCAAATTCCACTGCCCTGAGGAAGGCTAGAAATGGAGGACCCGCAAAACAGAGAGCAGAGACGACGCAGGGACGGGTCTGTAAGGATTCGGAGTCTCCCAGAAGGGACGGCCAGAAAATGAGAAGGTAGAAAGAGAAAGAAAGGGCGTGGCTGAGCTAAGGTACTTTCCACGTCGTCTCCGCAAGAGCGCGGCTTAACCACGGTTTTCTCCCGCGCGAAATCCGCTGGGTCTAGAGTCGGCTCTCTCCGTGTCCACGAACCTGTATCTCCATCACCTAGTAGGGCCCACACCACCCAATCTACCTCCGGATCCTCGCAGGCGCCGCACCAACGCGCCGAGCGCCCACCTACCTGCGCTGCGCCTGCGCCTGCCCCCCGCGTACTCTCAAGGTCAGCGCCGCCCCCGGCCTCTAACCTAGCAGCCACGGAAGTGGCAATAGAGGACGTCCTGCGTCGCCTCACCTCTGCGTGGCGTGGGGTCGCCGGCGTTCGGCAGAGGGGAGGGACTTCCTGTCCCGCCGAGCAGAACTTCCGGCCGAGCCGGAAGATCCTCTCCCTCGCGGTTTCGAGTGGCTCCCGGCTGCGGGGTTGGGAGGGGAGGTCCGGGAAGACCCCGGTGTACTCCTGGGCGTCGGGCCCACGACCTTTCCTTGGCGCCATGGTGAGTTCTCCTATGAGGGCTGGAGTGAGAGCAGTGGGGGGAAGACGGGGCCAGGAGGTCAGTCCTGTGCAGGGAAGCCGGCCGGGTGGCCAGCTGAGGATGGAGCGGGCGGGAGCAATGAGATGAGCGGTAGGGCAAGACCTTACCACCTGCCCCGGGGCGCTGGGGCTCCCGAGGAAGCGAGGTCTGTCCAGCCCAGCTGCTGGATATGTCCAGGAGTTCGAAATAGGTGGTCAGAATATTCATGGCCCGTTCATTGTGGACCGCCGTGGGGCCAGGTGGTCCCAGAGTTGACGTTGCCTGGTTGCTCACCTTCTCCCTTCTCTCAGCTGTAGAGCAGTGTCCAAGAGCTTCAGATCTCAGAAATGCCCCTGGCCTTTCCCGGTGGACCCAGTACCTCCCCTTCTTATAAAGGATCAACACGTGTCACCGAAAGAAACGGCCAAGTCAGTTTATCTTTCAGACTTGGCCCTTGGGAAATTGGAAAAGGTCTCAAAGATAAAAGTCTGGACTGAATAAGGAGGGTCTTGATTCGAAAGGAATGTTTCAGGGGCGTGCGCAAGGGAACTGTTGGAGAAGGGGGAGTACCCCGACGGTAAGATCTGTAAGAGCCTCAAATATTAGGCAAAAGGAGTTTTCTTTTATGAGGAAGAGAAAGCAAGGCTAGAAAGAACTGAGTGTGGGAAAGTGAGATGAAAGGGCAGTATGATTGGACTGTAGATCAGAGAAACTTTTACCCCCTAGACCAGACTTCTGAGGAAAAACTTTTGGAGGTGTATCCTGTTTCAGAGTGAGGGTGGGCCAAAGTTCAGGAACCCGGGGGAAGAGATCTTAGAATTTGGGTAATGTATTGCTCCAGTTGCTCTATGGGACAAACAGTTCAGCTAGTCATTTTTGAAGCAAAGAATGGTAATTTGCAGGCACTACGTCTGGCCTTGTTACAGGGCTTCCCAGGTGGCTCAGTGGTAAAAGAATCTGCTTGCCAGTGCAGGGAATGCAGGTTGGATCCCTGGGTCAAGAAGATCCCCTGGAGGAGGAAATGGCAACCCACTCCAGTATTGCCTGGAAAATCACATGGATGGAGGAGCCCTGTGAGCTCCAGTCCATAGAACCGCAAAGAGTCAAATGCTCCGAAGCACACAGACAGCCAGTTCCTGCATCTTGCTTCACTAAGTCTTATGGAGACTGTTGGTTCTTTGCAGTAAGCTGTTTCCAGAAAAGGTGGCGGTGGAAGGATTTTTTAACTTTTGCTGTTTTCCAATATCACAGGGGTCTGGTTCAAAATTGTCAAGTTACTTCAAATCCTGTCAGTGTCCTCTGGAGGACATTCTGCCTTGGAATTTGGAGTTTCCTGTATTTTTTCGGGATCAAATGTTGACATTGTTCAGTTGTGTATGATGATTCGCTTTTGAATGACTTACAGAAATGTAACGGACTGTGAAACAAAGGAACTTCAAAATAATGTGGTTCCTAATCCTCTCTTATCAGCTAACCTTTTGACTCTCTTGAGGCAGTAGTGAGTGTGTATTCTTTAAACCTCAGTGAATAGTACAATTTGTAATTAAGAGTTTTTTCTTTTTTCTTCCTGTTGTACAATGAAATTAGACAGAGATAAGGAACAGAAGGACTAGAATGAACCAAAAATAATGACTAGTCTAACCACCTTCCTCTCTCCCCCCAACCCCCAGTTTTACAGAGGGAAAAATCTGAGGTTTAGAAAGAGGCAGATAAATTTAGGTAAATCACCTAAAGTAGCAATTTACCTAAAGTAACAATAGTTTAGCAGTTTTTCATTTTTTAACATATCAAGTAGGTAACACTTAGAATCTTTGTCAATATGTTTAGTCAAGTATTTTACTACTGTCTTAAATACAACCACACAACGGAAAGCAGAGCCTTTTTTATTTTACATCTTGATTTTTTGTTTTAATCAATATAAACTTGTGATCCAGATCAAAAATACTGAGTGTTGACTTGTAATTTTTTTTATGTTGTGAAAATGAATTGTTGTTCAGTCGCCTCGTCATGTCCAACTCTTTGTGACCCCGTGGACTGCAGCACACCAGGCCTCTCTATCCCTCACCATCTCTCAAAGTTTGCCAAGTTCATGTTGATTGCATCGGTGATGCCATCCAGCCGTCTCATCCTCTGATGCCCTCTTCTCCTGCCCTAAATCTTTCTCAGTTTTAGGGCCTTTTTCAGTGAGTCAGCTGTTCACATCAAATGACCAAAACACTGGAGTTTCAACTTCGGCATCAGTCCTTCCAATGAATATTCTGTGTTGATCTCTCTTAAGATTGACTGGTTTGATCTCCTTGCTGTCCAAGGGACTCTCAGGAGTCTTTTCCAGCACCATAGTTTGAAGGCATCAGTTCTTCAGTGCTCCACTTTCTTTACAGTCCAGCTCTCACAACCGTACATGACCATTAGGAAGACCATAGCCTTGGCTCTATGGACCTTTGTTGGCAGAGTAATGCCTCTGCTTTTTAACACAGTCTAGGCGTGTAGGCCTGTTACAGCTTTCTTGCCAAGAAGCAAACGTCTTCCGATCGTGTGGCTGCAGTTAGCACCTGCAGTGATTTTAGAGCCCAAGAAGAGTGAACCTGTCACTAGTAGGAAGTGTGTAGTGTAGTAGTAAGTAGTGTTAGTCACTCAGCCATGTCCCTCTTTGTGACCCCATGGACTATAGCCTGCCAGGGTTCTCTGTCTAAGGGATTCTCCAGGCAAGAATACTGGAGTGGGCCATTCCCTTCTCTAGAGTATCTTCTTGGCCCAGGGATCGAACCTGGGTCTACTGCATTCAGGGCAGATTCTTTACCATCTGGGCTACAGAGAAGTCCTGTAATCTGTCATTGCTTCCACCTTTTCCCCTTCTATTTGTCGTGAAGTAATGGCGCCAGATGCCATGATCTTAATTTTTTTAATATTTAGTCTTAAGCTGGCTCTTTCACTCTCCTTCACCCTCGATCAAGAGGCTCTATAGTTACTGTTCACTTTCTGCCGTTAGGGCGGTATCATCCACATATCTGAGGTTGTTGACGTTTCTCCCGCCTATCTTAATTCTGGCTTGTAACTCATTTTTCATGACGTGCTCAGTGAATAGATTAAACAAGCAGGGTGACAGCAGACAACCCCGTTGTACTCCTTTCTCTATCTTGAAGCAGAGATATACACTGTTGCTTCTTCACCCGCATACAGGTTTCTCAGGAGACAGGTAAGATGGTCTGGTATTCCCATCTCTTTAAGAGCTTTCCACAGTTTTTTATGATCCACACAGTCAAAGGCTTTGGCATGGTCGGTAGAACAGAGGTGTATGTTTTTCTGAAATTCCCTAGCTTTCTCTGTGATCCAGTGAATGTTGGAATTTGATCTCTGGTTCCTCTTCCTTTTCTAAACCCAGCTTGGGTATCTGAAAGTTCTTGGTTCGCATAATGATGAAGAGTCCATAGAAAATTTACTGAAGGAATGAAGCTATGTTTTTATTATACTTTTTGAATATTATAGACCAACTTTGATCAAATAGACTTTTACACCATTTAGGTTGATTTGTGGGTGAAAAGTAGATCAAACACCTAGAATTGTAGGAATCTCATGGCTTATATTATCTATGGAGCATCCTGTAGTAACTTTACTGCTGGGATTGTGCTCAGTATGTTGGTTGTTTAAAAAAAAAAAGTTGTGAATCTCTGTCTTAATTGGAGTTATTGAGAGAGGTTTCTTTTTGGGAAATGGGGAAGGCTGTTGGGAAGAGATAATGTGGTAAAAGTTAGAAATACATGACTAACACAGGGGATAGAAATTCTGATGGGGTGATGGAGACACATAATAGGTGGCTTCAACTGAGTTTTGAAAAGTTAAATTAGGACACTCAGTTCAGTTCAGTCGCTCAGTCGTGTCCGACTCTTTGCGACCCCGTGAACTACAGCACGCCAGCTCCCTCGTCCATCACTAACTCCCGGAGTTTACCCAAACCCTTGTCCATTGAGTCAGTGATGCCATCCAACCATCTCATCCTCTGTCGTCCCCTTCTTCTCCTGCCCTCAATCTTTCCCAGCATCGGGGTCTTTTCAGATGAGTCAGCTCTTTGCATCAGGTGACCAAAGTATTGGGAGTTTCAGCTTCAGTATCAGTCCTTCCAATGAACACCCAGGACTGATCTTTAGGATGGACTGGTTGGATCTCCTTGCAGTCCAAGGGACTCTCAAGAGTCTTCTCCAACACCACAGTTCAAAAGCATCAGTTCTTCTGCGCTCAGCTTTCTTTATAGAACAACTCTCACACCCATACATGACCATTGGAAAAACCATAGCCTTGACTGGACGGACCTTTGTTGACAAAGTAATGTCTCTGCTTTTTATTTTTTTCCATTTATTTTTATTAGTTGGATGCTAATTACTTTACATCATTGCAGTGGGTTTTGTCATACATTGAAATGAATTAGCCATGGATTTACATGTATTCCCCATCCCGGTCCCCCCTCCCACCTCCCTTTCCACCCGATCCCTCTGGGTCTTCCCAGTGCACCAGGCCCGAGCACTTGTCTCATGCACCCAACCTGGGCTGGTGATCTGTTTCACCCTAGATAATATACATGTTTCGATGCTGTTCTCTTGAAACATCCCACCCTCGCCTTCTCCCAGAGTTCACAAGTCTCTGCTTTTTAAATGCTGTCTAGGTTGGTCAAAACTTTCCTTCCAAGGAGTAAGGACACTAATTTTTAATAATTAGGACACTAATTCTCAATTTAAGTTCACATAGGATTCACCTGTGATGCTTGATAAAAATGCTTATCTGGGCTGGCTTATTGAGGGAGTGGAGTCTCATAATTTAATTTTTAATGAGTTTTACAATTAAGTCTGAAACTTGTGGTCCTGAAAGCACTTTGAAGGAACTGTAGTGCAGCCATTAGAAACTTTGATAGGGATATTGAGGTTTTTGTGCTGAGTGATAGTCATACATGTGGTTTGTTGATTTGTTGGATTACTTTAATGGATTTTGGA